AACCAGTACTGTATCCTTGCCAACTGTCTTCTCCATAGTCTATCAGTATCCCACTTCCTTCCAATCTCTAGCCTGAACAACTGGACTAACTTAAGTCAACTCCAGCCCAGGACTTTCCTCATCTATAAAACAGAGATAATAAAACCTATACTGTCTCATAGGAATGCTGTGCAGTAGTGCTTCATAAACCTTAAAGTGCTAAATAGATGAGTTGGTTTTATTATTATTATTAAAAAAGGCATGGTCCTCAGTCTTGTAGAGATCATATTCTATAAGAATAACACTAGAATGAAGAAGATCTAGTAATCTAGTTATTATCTCCAAGCACACTTGGGTCCACATATTGCATATTTTGTCATAACCGACATTAGACTTTTTTCACAAACAAGACCCAGGATGGCCTAATGAGCAGAGTGCTAGGCTTGGAGACAGGAAAAACTGGATTAAAGTTCTGCTTCAGCTGTATGATTATGGTAAGGTCACTTTAACTCTCTTAGTTTCCTCACCTATAAAATGAAAGCATCCTCAGTACAACTCCAAAAACATATAGGACAACAGGAATGACATACACCTCATCCTAATTCCCATATGATTTTTATCTCCTCTGTTAGCTCTCCATACCATGAAAGTTTTTTGTTATAGGAAGTTAGGAAATTACAGGTATTTGGTACGGTGGCATCTTTTTAAAACATTCTTCTTAAGTTTTTATGGATCAATGTTACAGTGGGTAATTGCGGACAACAACATTTCTGATAATGGTCCAATTCCAGTCCAGTTTATTGATTGATTTCTCCAGGATATTTTTGAGGTTTGGATCTCTAGTTTGGGGATTTGTTATTTATTAGTCCATGAAAGATACCAAGCTTGTGTTGTATTATTCTAACCACCAGGAAATGAGTTTTTAGGTATTTGATAGGTGTCCAATTTTTGCATCCTACAAGGATACATTTGCATAGTTTCTAGCATTTCTTTACATCATCTACATTGATCAATAAGTCTCCTTAAGTATAACCTTTCGTAATTTCTTGTGGCAAATAACCTGTCCTTGAATTGTCATCATAAACCTCTCTGAGTCCACAAACTCACATGATTCCACCATTTATTTGAAGCTTCTCTATCAACAAATTGTTGGCTGGGTTCACATGGATGTCAACTATGAAGGGCTTTTTGATTCTGTTCTTGGAATTTAACTATTTCATAGGCTGTATGTGAAGCTAAACCACTTTCAATTACATCTGACAAATCTCATGTCAGGTACGTGTTACTAGACTTTACTTTTGCTCCGTGAAGTGTTGTCCACTTATTCCAAAAATATTTTTGTCAGTTTTTGACATGTATCATGTGGTATAAGAATGTCTCTTTTTTTGGCTGCCTTATGGTAGTGGATCCATATTCAGTTAATATTGTACAAGTTTTTGTTAGGATACTTTCCAAATCTGTCATGATCTATTCTACACTTCCAAAAGTGAACAGTAAGACTAATATTGCGAAAGTATTAATAGTTTTAAATGTGTTCTCTCCATCTAGCTTTGATTTGAGGATAAGACCAATCAATAAGCATTTATTAAGCTCCTACTGTGTGGTAGGCAATGTGATACAGTAAAAATGTAAAGAATGAAACAATCTCTGCTCTCAAGGAACTTACATTACAATGGGTCAGAAAACAAGTACATATATAAATATGTACAGAATAAACATAAGGAGAATAAATTCAAGGTAGTTAAGGAGGGATGGCATTAGCAGTTGGGAGCACCAGCAAAGAGTGCATGTAGAAGGAGGTGTTTGATGTATATCATGTATCATGGAAAGGGGGGGGGAGAGGGAGGGAGGGAGTTTCTGTGAGGCAGAGGTAATGAGGAAATATATTCCAGGCATGGGAGATGGCCAATTCAAAGACATAGATTCAGAAATGGAATGTCTTGTATGAGGAACAGAGAGAAGGCCAGTTTGCCCGGACTGCAGAATTTGGGACAAGTAGTAATGTACAATAAGGCTAGAAAGATAAGTTGAGGTCAGGTTGTGAAGGGCTATAAAAGTTAAACACAAGAATTTACATTTTATCTTAAAAGCAATAGGGATCCATTTGAATTTATTGAATAGGGGAATTGTACTTAAGGAAATCACTTTGATTGCTATGTGTAGGACAGACTAGAGTGGTGAGAGACTTTGGATGGAGACTAATGAGGATGCTATTGTAATAATCTAGGTAAGAAGTGATGAAATCTTGAACTAAAGTGGAGGTATATGAAGAGAGGGAAGGGGTAGAATGTATGAAATGTTATAGAGGTAAGAATGGCAAGATTTGGCAACTGGATATGTAGGGTGAGGGAGAATGAGGCACCAAGGATGACACTGAGTTTATGAACCTAAAAGACTGCCAATAAGTCTCTTAATAGTCAACCTTAGCCTTCTTGATATTTTTTGCTCAATGTATGTTGCTTAGAGGAGGCCAAAGTATTTGTAGGTATCACCTTTATCCAATTCATTGTGACCTCCAGATTCAAGATGGAAACCTTTCCTTAGCATATATTAAGCCAAGTCCAAATACCATTTGTATATCATTAGAGAGAGATTCCATAAGATGAAGGAGTTGTTTAATATATTTTCTGGTGGGGGCATATACTTTGATGTCAGTCATGTACATCAAGTAATTAATAAGATGCTTTGATTTGACTTGGTCTTTAATTTAGAAATCAGATTTAGCTATTTTAAGTAAAGTGGATATTAGGTTAGGCAAACCATAATGAGCTTACACTGTCTCCCTGAAAAATGATGTTTTCTATAATTTGTTCTTGACATGATTATGTGATGGTAGCATGTTTTAAATAGACAACAGTTTTCCATGTGGACAAAAAATAAAAAATATTCTAGCATTTTCACTATACTGTACTTGTTTCTATTTTATGTACAGTACCGTATTACATAAATAAGCCATGGGTATGGAACTGAATCCAAGGCTTTGAAATAATCAACAACAGGTATTATCACCATCATTGTCATTATATGTAGGCCAAGAGGAAAAGCACTGTGTTGCAAGGCACTAAATCTGGAGAACAGATCCAGAAACTTTTGGGATAGAGTCCATAATCTGAGCATCTTATGACCAAAAGCCTACATGCCTCTTGCCCAAGAACCTTGGGAAGATGTCAGTCCTGGGTGGCTTTCACAAATCTAAATTATTGAGAAATATAATCTCCTTCTCCTGTGTCTAGTAGCCAAATATTGCACATGGGGATTAGCAACCAAAGCAAAAATGGGTTACTGGAAGTATGCAAAAGTTAGAACTTTGCCCTTGGCCAACAACAATATTTGAACTATCCTTCCCTCCTCCCTCTCTCTCTCTCTCTCTCTCTCTCTCTCTCACTCTCTCTGTCTCTCTCTCTCTCTCTTTTTCTCTCTCTCTCTCTCCTTCCTTGCTCTTTTTTCCATCTGTCTCCCTGCCTGCCTCTTATTCTGTTCCATTTCATTTCAAGGAAAATTCCTGTAGGAGCCAGAGAGATGGGCACACACTTTGAGCACATCCTGTTCTGCAGCTGTTCTGCTGTAGTGCAGTTCAGAGCCTTCAACACCAGCCCTGCAGAAGGAAAAAGCAGGGCCTGGAAACAGAGATAACTTCTGCTTCCAGTTCACCATACAGAGTAGTTGCTGGGTTAAGGGTTACTCTAAAGACTCTCAGATGTATTTCAGGGGCACTATACCTGACCCCAAAGCTTTTATGCTGCTATGCACAAACCTGTACACACCTCAGCCCCACTCTTTAAAGCCAGACTATGTAGGCAGGAATGCCAAGCCCAGTTAGGAAAAGCAAGCATGAACAAGAATACAGAGATTTAACCATATTATAAAATACTTGAGAGGACTACTTATCTTGCCTGGTTAATAAGCATAATTTAGTTACTATTGTAAAGGAGAATCTGAGATATGTTTTCTCTCTGTAAGGATATTAATGATCTCTCTCTCTCTCTCTCTCTCTCACACACACACACACACACACACACACAGAGTACCCTCACCCAGAGAAGCAAGAAGGAACAGGATGAGGCAAGATCAAAGAGATGTGTTCAAGTGGTGAAAGTCCCAACATTTCACTTTGGGGATCAGAGAAAAGGAAAAGCAAAAAACATTCACATTTCACTTCCATGTTTATAGTCAAACCTTCTCTGCGACACCAAGAGGGCAGACACAGAAATGTGAGGTAAAAAGATAGAAGTGAGTTATACAATAAAACAGCAAGTTTTTCAGTCCTACACTAAGTAACCTGCAGAAATAGACAAGGAGGAAGGAACAGTCAATTATTAAGCACCTACTATATGTCAGGTGCTATGCTAAGCACTTCACAAACATATCATTTCATCCTCATAATTACCGTGGGAGGTAGGGTCTATTATTATCATTCCCCTATTAAAGATGAGGAAACTCAGACAAACAGCAGTTAAGTGACTCGCCTAGGGTAACATAGCTAAGTATCTGAGGTCAGAATTGAACTCAGGTCTTCCTGACTCGAGGCCCAGCATTTTATTCCCTGTACAACCTACCTGCCTTGGTCACAGACAAGAGGGACAGAACAAAGTCCCTGAGGTTTAGAAAGGTCTTTCAAAAGTTAGCATCCAAAGAATGCAAATGGTTTCTTGCATTAGGAGAAGCATGTCAGTATCCTAGAGTGACTAGTTCTCTCATTTCAGACCCAGCATAAGGAGAATGCTATAGACCTAAGCAGGAAGGAACCCAGAGCCAAGACTATGGAGTGATTATTCCCATACTTCATTACCAAAAGGATGAGCCTTTGGTGTCAGACCTTTCCCTCTTAATTTTCCATGAAATTCTTCAGACCGTCAAGGCTGAGTACTCCAAAAAGGATGATTTTAGGATTAGACAAGTGGATAGACATGTGAGTTTGTCAAAGTAGTTTCTCTTTTATGCAGATTACAAAATAAAACAGCTGTGGGGAAACATTTCTTTGACCCTTCCACCCTCCTGGTTCTTCCCATTGTTACACTCACCCCTTTGGTATAGGCCCAGCACATGGCCCAGCTGGTCCCTGGAGCCACAGCTACCATCAACCCAAGCAACAGAGAGACACACCAGGTACTGGCAATAGAGGACAAGAGAAACAGCAGCAAGTGTATAGTGTAGACACTTGGCAACATGACTGTGCCTACAAAATTCTTTTCATCTTTGTTTTGATGGGCAAAGTTCAATGCCAGAATATTTGGTTTATGAGTCATACTAATTACAGCTGAGAGAGAGAGGAGGGAACCCAGAACAAAAACCAAGCATGTTCAGAAAAAAAATGTTCTTTACTTATTAGATTGGATAGGGAAGCTGCAACCTGGGAATGAAGAGAGGCAAATGTGCCCTTCCTGTGAGAGTATTGGATTGGGTCACTTCCAGTGGTCATCAGTGGCCTTCAGTAGCTGCATGTACCTGTCATACTAACTATATCACCAGGACAGAGAACTTCTACACTGGCAGCAAGAGGGAGCTTCAATCTAAAATCCATATGCCCAAGTGTCCTGCCATATGCCAAGTTCTGCCTCTCACTCAGAACTCCCTCATTTTAAGCTGCAAAGGTCACCTTTCAGAGATGCACATCCTCTAACCTTTTGCAAGGTGGGGGTAAAAGTGCCATTAAAGAGAGAGAGAGAGGAGAAGAGATAAGGTGCATAGGTAAGAGAAAATATATTTCTCTCTATGCAACAGGGAATTTTCCACAGGCACAGAGGTATAGGAGTTAGAAACATTGAATTAAATCCCACAAGCATCTATTAAGTGGTTTCCATGTGCAAGATGCCACTAACTTACTGAGTCATCTTGGAAAATCATTTAATCTCTTTGAGCCTCAATTTCTTCATCTTTAAAAATGAAGAGATTAGATCAAACGATTTCTAAGTTCTCTCACTGCTCTAAAGCTCTTATATTTCCATAGGGGAATGGGAAAGGGAGAAGATAATATCCTTTGGCACTCTTCTCCCTGGGACACTGAGCAGATCTGCTGAAGAATTTCCTAACTTTCTGTCCCCAGACCCAGTTGTTGATGGTGTCAAGGTGAGAGAATATGCCATCAGCCCACTATCAGTAGCTGCAATTGTACAAATATAGACAGAAATGCACACACAGGAATAAGCACATTCATTTGCAAAGATGCCATGTGTGCCTTGGCAGACCATTGGAAGAGCTTATGTTTCTTTGCTCTGTTAAAAAAAAAAAGTAGGAGGAAAGCAACTTTCAAGGACGTCACACACTTCCCACTGGGACCTGTAGTACATCTAGCCTTTGGGAAAATTCTTTTTCTCAGGGAACTTTACATTTTAGTTTAGGTTGCTCAAGCAGGACAATCCCATTTACACAAAATTGCTCAGTTTCTAAAACCTAGAAGAGGAGGAGAGAGGAAAAGAGAGAGAAATAGAGAAAAAAAACAGCGATACAGACAGAAAACAGAAAGACAGAAAGACAAAAGGAGAGAGAAAGAAAGATCAGAGAATTAGCCTGCTTCCTCATACCAAGTGGGGGAACTACAAAATAGAGTCACACAGGGTCACCAGCAGAGGAAGACACATGGTGAGGGATTAGAATGATCTACAAAGAACTGGGGAACCAGGATAGGAGCTGCCTTTGGAAAAAGAAGGCACAAATAGCAAGGAAATCCCCCAGCTAATTGGTGTTTCTGCCTAAAGATAGAAAATCACAACTGTGCACAGAGAAGCATTTATGGTGACTACAGCCTCCCCCTCAGACACACCCTACATAGAGATAAACACATGTCCCCAGGTTGTTTACCCCTGGGTCAACTTGTGTGCACAAATTGTATGTTGTGTAGTGTGTTACATAGCAGTCAAAGATATTGTTTGTACCATATGTTGTGTCTCCAATATCACAAATGTACCATCACGCAAATACTCTCCAAGGCATGAGCAGCAGCCCTAAAGCCCCTCAAGCGAGCCTGGTAAAGTGACATTGTTTTTTCCTGTCCAAGCTGGATTCCCTCCAGGAACATCTCAGTTATTTAAATGCAGAAGCTGAAAGTCAATGCTTCCGGTAATATTTGTGGAGACAGTTCGGATAAATCTTGACACCCCAGTTATAAAAAGAAGCTGCCCATTGTGGGTAGCTGTTCCCTACCAAGCATATTAAGGCAGTGAGTCCTATCTTCCTTCTCTTTTAAGTCCTTCAGGAAAGCACAAAAAAAAAAAACCAAAAAAAACAAAAAAAAAACCAACAAAATCCCTCAAGAACAAAAGGAGTCCTGATAACGTTTACTAGCAAAAGTCTTCGGAAGAAGTTCCCAAGCAATCATTCTCTTTCCATATCCAGAGAGTAAGGCTATTAAGTTGTAGCCCTTGTGTGCGTGGATGGAGTGAATGACAGCAAGGAACAAACAGGGACACCCCTTTTTGTACTCCTGTCAGCAGTACCGAAACACTCAGTCTCCATCCCTGAGAGTCTGCCTGCTGCAAAGTTCGCCTGTCAGTTTTACTGTGGGGGGCCTCGGATAAAGAACTGATCTGGGGTCAAGGAAGCAACAAGCCAAGTCAGTACCTGACTCCCCTCTCTACCCTCACCCTCTCCTCAGCCCCTTTTTGGCTCCCCACCACCACCACACTAGCCCCAACCCCGTTCAGCCTACCTTGCTGTGAACTTCCCTGGTTCAAGATTTTGTTTTCTATCTTGTCTGACTTTCCACCAGCAACTGTCTTGTTGCCTCAGCAGAGGCTCGATCTTTTAGAGCATCTCCTGGGGGCTGTAACCTCCTCCCCAGCCAGGTCCGAGGGAAATCACAGGCTTGTTTGAAGGAAACTCAGCAAGGGGGGAAAAAGTCCAGAGGGAAGACAAAAAGCAAAAGGGGAGGGGGGGGGGGCAGTGCAAGTAACAGCCAGTCCCCTTCCAGCACCTTTATCTTCACGGCTCCACGATTTCTTTGGCCAGAAGCGGAAATGCGGTTTCTCGAAAGTCAAGGAAGAGAGGAAGAAACCAGGATAAACACGTAAAGAGAAAAACCCAGCCAGATGTGAGGCGCAGTGGAGCCTTGAATGGCTCCCAGTGCATTTTATACAAACAGCAGCAGTTAAGTATTAACTCTGTGTGTGCCCGGGTTGGCAGGGGGAAAATCAACCTCTGCTGTTCCCCGCCACCCCTTGGGAGTCAGCCCAGACTGAAGAATCAGACTTGCAACATCAGAGTATCTGAAAGTCAATCCAGATGTTGTTAGCCTATTTGTGCCTGTGAGAGCTAGGAGACAGTGGCATCAGGAACCCAGACCAAGGATGTTCAGGGCCAGGCTAGGGGACATCAGAGGCCAGAGACATCAAGTTAGGAGATTAGAGGCACTTGGGGTCCGGAAATGCTTGTGATCAAACCTGTGAATTTTAAGCTTCCATTCTATGATAAACCTGAATTGAACCCTAGATGCTTAGGACATCTGAATGAGGAGAGGATTAGATGCCCTCACTCCATTCCTCACCCAGGAACTACACCTAACAGCAAGCTCATTAGAAGAGGAGGGATCTGACCGGAGAAACAAAGTTTTCTGCTATGGCAATGACTCCATTCTTCCTCTTCTCCTTACCTCTTCTTCCCTCCAAGCCCTATGTGAGAAGTGCCCGGTATGGGCAGAGCATCTCTACTTTAGGGAGCCATTCCTAAGTGCACTCCCTCTGTCTATATCTGGGCAGGAGATAAGGCAATATGGTATACTGGCATTGGGTTCCCAGGGGAAAGATGCTTTCCCTTGCTTTGGTATTTCCTTCCTGGATCTCTCCACATATTTCTTCTTGGAATGCCAAGTACAAACATCTGAGGGGTGGGAGAGGGAATTTTTTTTTAAATGAATGAAGGAGTAGCTACCATAATTGATACATATCTGGCACAGGTAATGTTGTCCCAGGGTTGGGAGTCAGTCAGGAAGTCACGTATGGATGAAGATTGAAGAACAAGAGGAGATTGATGGCAGATGGGCAATGACACCCACATGCCGTGCAGACTATGAGCAAAGTGGGCTGACAGTACTAACACCCTAGTGTAGGAGTAAAAGAAGCCAGTACTGCCAAATCTTTACAGGGATTTAAAAATTTATCAATTACTTTTCAGTTCTTTTTTATAGTATTTAAAACCCATCTATTCTGAATTCAGTGAAGAGTGCCCAGTTTATTTTTAAGGGACATTATTAGGAGATTAAGTGCTTTGGTTTCCTGAGGTTACTATTCCAGATACGGTTCTAGCTAATGATAAGAATAAAGTTAGAAGTCTCACATTCTGTAGGATTTGTGTCAAGGCCTGGCAAGCTTACCTCCTTTGTAGCTTATCAATTCAGGAGAATTCAGAGATAAATTCATCTTCATTCCTGTAAGTAACTTAAGGAAGTTTGGGAATGAATAAGGGCATGAGCCCAACAAACTGATTGATTTTCCCTTAGCTACTTCATCCTCAGATGACCTTCCCAATGCTGGTATCACAGGAAAACTCCACCATAATCTTGTAAGGAGGAGTTGAGGAAGGACAAGGATTCAACATCTTTATAGAACTGCTGTTAATTAAGAGAATCCAGGACCTGTTTACAGTCTTCCTAGAATTAGAAAATTCCCTGGATTAGGTCCTAGTTAATAAGCCTTGAAATTCCCCCATTTTCCTACTCAGGTAGCTCAGAAATTTTGCAGCAATGGACTAATACTATCCTTTATTTTTTTCAAATATTGAATTTATATTAATATTTCTTTGGACATCACATTTTATGAATATACTTTCCCATTGTCCTATCCTACAAATCATCCCTTGAAACAAAGAACAAAAAAGAAACAAAAAAAGCAGCTCAGCAAAAATAACCAACACATTGACCAAGTCTCACAAGTATATGCAATGTTCCACATCAAAAGTTCCCACCTCAAATGATCCAACCATTTTGGAGAGCAATTTGGAACTATGCCCAAAGGGCTATAAAAATGTCCATACCCTTTGACCCAGCAATAGCACTTCTCGGGCTATATCCCAAAGAGATCATATAAATGGGAAAAGGACCCACATGTACAAAAATATTCATAGCAGCTCTTTTTTATGGTGGCCAAGAATTGGAAATTGAGAGGATGCCCATCAATTGGGGAGTGACTGAGCAAGTTGTGGTATGTGAATGTAATGGAATACTATTGTGCTATAAGAAATGATGAACAGGCTGACTTCAGAGAAACCTGGAAAGACTTGATGATTTGATGCTGAGTGAAGTGAGCAGAACCAAGAGAATGTTGTACACAATAACAGCCATATTGTGCGATGACTAATAATGATAAACTTAACCCTTCCCAGCATTACAAGGATCTAAGACATCTCCAGAGATCTCGTGATGGAAAATGCTATCCACAACCAAAGAAAGAACTATGGAAGTTAAATTGCTTTTTTTTTTCTCTTCTGTTGAGTTTTGTTTCCTCTTTGTGATGGTTCCTCCTATTGGTTTTAATTTTTATTTACAACATCACTAATGTGAAAATATGTTTAATAGGAATGTAAATGTATAGCCTATATCAGATTGTGTGCCGTCTTGGGGAGGGTGGTGGGGAAGAAGGAGGAGAAAAATTTTAAACTCAAAAGCATATGGAAGTGATTATTGATAAATCAAAATAAATTAATAAAAAAAAGTTCCCACCTCTAAAAAGAAGGGAGGGAGGTGAGAAGCATTTTCTCATTCTTTCCTTGAGGTCAAACTCAGGCATTATAATTGCACAAAGTTCAGTTTGGGTTTTCTGTTCTTTCCATTTTCATTTTCGTTCTCATTGTGTTTATTGTTTTCCTGGTTATACCTACTTCATTCTGTATCAATTTGTATAAGTCTTCCTATGATTCTCTGAATTCTTCATATTCAGGCATTAGAAGAGGGTGCTGAGTAGTACAGTGGTTAAAGTGGATTTGGAGTTAGGAAGACTTGACCTAAAATTCTGCCTCAGATACTTACTAGCTATGTGACCCTGGGTAAGTCATTTTACATGTTGGCCTTGGTTTCTTCATTTGTAAAATAAGAATAATAATAGCACCTGTCTCATACTGTTTTGTGAGAATTAAATGAGATAGCACTTGTAAAATACTTGACTTAAGTGACTGAAATGGGTATCTACTTTTTGTTTACAGTTCTTTGCTACCACATAAGTACTTCTATAAGAATATTTTGTGTGTGCTGAATCTTTGCTTCTACCTTTGACCTCCTTGAAGCATATACCTAGCATTGGGATCTGGGCAAATCTTGACATGCTATATAAACACTAGTTATTATTATTATTACTATTATTATAATCATTATTTTTCTGTTCATTTTTTTCTGTTTCCTATTCAATATCCTCCATTCAGATGGCATGATTTTTCCTAAGGCTCAGGTCTGTCCATTAAATTCCAGGGTTTCCCTATCACCTCCAGCATCAAATACAAAATCCTCTGTTTGGTGTTCAAGGTCTTTCATAACCTGGTCTACACCCAAACTTTCTAGTCTTCTTAAACCTTACACCTCAACACATACTCTTTGATCCATGATAATGGCCTCCTTGCTATTCCCTGAACAAGATACTCCATCTCTTGGCTCTGAGTATTTTCTCTGGCTGTCCTCCATACCTAGGATGCACTCTCTCCTCTTCTCTGTCTCCTGCCTTCCTTCAAGTCCCATTTAAAATTCCACCTTCTATAAGAAGTCTTTTCCAATTCCTCTTAATTCTGGTGCCTTCCCTCTGTTCATTATTTTCTATTTATCTTGTATATAGCTTGTTTATACATATTTGTTTTGCATATTATCTTCCCCATTAGATTATGAGCTTCTCTTCTTTGTATTCACAGCTCTTAGAACAGTGCGTGGCATAATATTAGGAGTTTAATAAATACTTATCAACTGACTGACAGAAATGGGCATCTACTTTTGTTTACAGTCCCTTGCAACTACAAAAGTGCTGCTATATGAATATTTTGGTATATATGGGACCTTTCCTTCTATCTTTGATCTCAAGGCATACAACTAGCAGTGGGATCTGAGTCAAAGTGGACACTTTCGCCATTTTTTTGGTGTAATGTCTTTTTTGCAAAGCTCCCCCCCCAGAAACTACAGATACTATTACTGAACTTTCAAAAGGTCATTGAAATGTTATGTAAATGGCAGTATTAATAATCAGTTTGGGGAGACTATTGAGAGTAATGGCTGGAGAAAAACTTAAGATACTCTTTTCCTGTCATGGCTGGACAGAAGCTGTAGATAACAAGAAAAAAAGAGAGATGGAGAGGACTTCTTTCTTGATGGAACTTTATCTTATGAAGAAGATGGAAGAGAATTCTTACTCAGAAATTTTTTGTTATCCTGAATGAACTGTGTGTGGAACTGTGTCCTCAAAAGTGAAGTCATCTGCCATTAATAATTAGGTTTGAGGTATCTCTCTCTGGTTGTAATCATTCTCACAGTTAAAATACTGCAAATAATTATCTTTTTATAGATATCATTGTTGGTAAGTTGTGTATTCAATAACTTCAATATTTACTTAATCTTAGTAGGTTAAGAAATTTAATATAGAGTATGAGTAACTGTTATTGGAAGAAGTTAGTTTTTCTAGTTTACTAAATAAATAATACTTGATGAACTTATGGGAGCTTTGAGATTAGTTAATTAATTGAAAGATATGTTGAAATTGTATTAACTAAAGCAAAAATATACAAACATATCTCTGGATTATCTTAGAGTCCAGGATGACAAAATGAAATATGGTAGCAAATCAAGTAGTAGTCCTACAAGTGAATATGGTCAATCCCAAATCCTTAAATCTCGATACAATTTATTTTATTTTCCAAATTATTTTCCAAAATGTTCACACCAATTCATAGCTCCATCAATAGTGTATTAATATGCCTGTCTTCCTTTAGCCTCTCCATCTTTTGTCATGGTAATACTATGATTTTGTTCAAACAAACAAAGCACAGACAAAAAGAGCAAAACATTGGGAAAATTAAAATTTTCAAATGCTTTATTTTTTCTCCTCTAAAAATAATACACTGGAATATCAGAATAATACTATTAATTATTGTGAAAAATTAATCATAAGACAAATCTGGAGAGGTTTAGTTACAAAAGTATAAGA